GACACTCCCTGCAATTAGTTTCCCTAATTAACCATTTGGCCAAGGAAATAGTCACTGCAGGGGGCTGATTTCCGGGCTTGAAAGAAACCAGAGGTGTTAATTCATGAGTTTCACCATTTACAATTCTAAACTGCCAAAAACTTGTTAATTTTGTTGAATGGAAAAGCAGTTTATTTTTGTTATAAATGTATATATTGCCCTGAAATGAATGAACATCTTTCAGGAAGCCAGACAATTAAAAGCCATTACTTAGACTCTGAATGAAGATTATGATATGGTATATTTTAAACCCTAAGGTGACCATACGTGCCATTTTCCCAGGACGCGTCCTGGCCAGGATTTCTATATTGCCTAAAATGCAGACCGATGTATGACATCAAAATACCTCGAGATCATTTTGAAAGCATAAGGAACCGTCTGTATGGTATTTTGATGTCATACATCGGTCTGCATTTTAGGCAATATAGAAATCCTGGCCAGGACGCGTCCTGGGAAAATGGCACGTATGGTCACCCTATTAAGCCCTCACAAATTGGCTACTGTTCTTTTTTGGTTTTGAATGTACTGTTGAGATTCATTAATATGATGCACAAATATCTGTGGTAACTCTGTCTTTAGCATCTCCTGTCTGAACATGCTAGCCTCCATCACTATCAATAACAATAAATAGCTCTTTCTGTGGAAACCTTAAGGGATGGGTGAGATAAGGAGCCACATTAGCCGTTCCCAACTCGTACACACCATTCGACCTGCATTTTCCCATAGAACTGGAGGGCTACATTTACAAAGGGCCTAAAATGGGAAAGAGAGTATATACAGTAATGTAAATAAGTGGCTTTCAACTTGTGGATTTGAAAAGGCCACACACAGCAAGGATAAAAAAATTTTTTTTAAATATCTATAGAATTTCCATTTTGAAATATATGCAGGATATAACTATAAGGAGTTATGATATAAGGAGATATACTTTATCTCTTAAGTTAAGTAAGTCTCTTATGCTCACCAAGGCTGCAATTACTTTTAAAAAAATTTAGAAATATTATTACGATTTAAAATTAAAATTTTTCATTTTAAAATATTTTTAAAATGTATTTTATTCTTGTGTTGGTGAAGCTAAAATTCCAGCAGCCATTTCTTCACTCTTCAGTGCCACATGATCCTCCAGAAATCATTCTAATATGCTGATTTGATGCGCAAGAAACATTTAATATTAACAATGTTAAAGTGCCCCTATTATGGGTTATGAAAGGGTCATATTTGGGTTTTGGGAGTCCCCAACAACAGGTTGACATGCATGCAAAGTCAAAAAACATTTTCATTGTCTTATGATATGCATTTATTTTTAACTTACTTGCTCAACAATTCCCAAACTATTCGTTTAACAATTCATTTTGCCAAACCCCTCCTTTGCGTGACGCTAATCTGCAGTGATTGGTCTCATTTTCATTTCATCATGCCTGTAATGCCTGATAAAGCAGCGTTTGTGAGCACAGTGCTGCTTTGTTTACAAACAGCTCTTTTACAGCTCCAAAAGCCGCACCTAGTGGCAAAGAATGAATTTGCATTTTCATTCAGACCAATGCGAAAAGACCAACAAGTGGGCGGGCAATATGCTAATGTTTCATTTTGACGTCAACATGAAACGGCTTGGGATTCGTTTTAAAAACGACTCGTTTCAATGATTCAGAGTCGACTCTTTCTTTTGAGAGACAATAACTTTATACACGGTGCACTTTCAGATTTAAAACTGGGCAGGATGTTTTCATTCACTTAGAGCTGTTACACACTGCATGAAAGGTCATTTTCAAAAATCCATAATAGGGGCACTTTAAAAACAGTTGTGCTGCACATTTTCATGCTGGGTTGCCATTGGACATCCAAAGTAAAATCTGCATCCTGAAGCAAAACCAGTTGATGACCACTGATGTAATGTCAGCTATATGTTCATCCAGTTACGCAAAAAATTCCCATCACATACGCATACACACATATCATAGGCAGCCATCCGTAAACAGGAGGTTAAATGTCTAAAATTCAAGAACTGATTGATTGCCTGTCTCTTCTATGACGTGAATGAAGGCAGAAGCATAAATAAGGAAGACGGGCAGACGTGAAGAGGCAGGCTGCTTGTGCTCCAAGGCCTGCGAACACTTCACACACACTCACGCAAGAGAAATGAATCTCATTTGCTGAAAAGAGGCTGATATTAATACCAAGGGGCACAGAAATATGCAGGGAAATGAGTTGTTTTAGCAGGGTGCTCCTTTGAACACGGCAAGGCTTTTTTTGTCTCTCTTGAAATGAATTTGACGGAAACGTTTGAGTATTTTTAGGTCAAAGCATTTCCGCAGAGACCGCGTTTCTTGTTTTGTTAATTCCAACGGTACAGTCCTTTGGATTTTAATGATATGTTCTGTTACTTTTTAAGTGATTTTTTATATATAGGCTACTTAATGAGAATATATTAGGTTACTTGCATAGCGGAACGTGTTTGTTGTTGCCATATGAGAACAAGCAAATATGCAATTAAATTCAGAGCGTGTCTGTTGTGAATTTAGAAACACGGTAACATCTGAAGCACATCTTGAACTCTAAAGAGGGCCAATAATCAACATGTCTGAGGACGAGGGGACTGTAAACATATTTAGACTGAAAGGATTGAAGTTGCTTTTTGCCATATTTTAGTCCCAGAATCCCTTGTTTCTTCACCAGTGATCTCATTACAGTAGCTTAGCTAAGTGTCGGTCCACAAACAAACAAAAAATATTCCCACCATTTTCTCACAAGATGAAAGCAGGCTGATTTTACCCTGTCTGACATATTCTTTCATTTGTACTGGGTTCATCTGAGCTCTTCTTTGACAACTTCAGAACAAAATTGCCTGCAGTCTCTGATCAGTTGTTAATAAAGCAGCATTCAGGCTCATACAGGAAGGTATTGCACATGCATTATAGCATCATTGTGCACAATTTGTCATTGACATCAATCTTTGCACTGTGCTTTTGTTTGTTTGTTTGATGAAAGCATAAAAAAAGAATGAAAAAAGAGACTCAACCGAGACGTGAAAAATTGGCTAGCATGTCTACAGGGCCATCTGACCTTGCTTTGTGATTTTAGAGGCATCAGTGTGCATACAGCGGAGTTAAATTTAGTCATACTTGAGGCTGCAAGTCAGAATAAACAGAGGGTCTGCAGCGATACGGTGAATAGTTCACATTCTCTCAAAGAAATGATTGAAATAACAGAGCTGTGCCAAGAGAATCAAAAAAGCCTATTTCATACTGAAACAAATGGCATAGAAAGGTAAATATTGATCGCATTGTAGTTTTGGGCAGAGATGGAGTGAAATATGTTAGATATGCAGTACTGGTATTCTTACAATAATTCTCCATGGTCACCATAGTTAAGTCAATTGTCAGTAGTGCTTGTGAAGGCAAACATTATTGTTGTTTCTATTTATCATAACGGCTGCACCTTTACACATTCATTGGTAAAAAAACAAGAAAGAAAGAGGGTGAGTGCTTTTTAAAAGTTGAACTTGAATGTGTGAGATGTGACGGAACGGTCAAAGACTTGTCTTGCACATGTCTAAATAGAGAAACTATTAAAAGCAGCATATTTGAACACAAAAACACATTTACAGTCTTAAATCTAAGAAAACCTCTCAGTCCATGGTGAGTCTGTTGTTAAAGAACATCACATACCACACCATCCAAACCAGCTCGTCTGCTGCAGCGAGACAAAGTGCTGCTCCTCACAGTGTTTCATCACTGCCATATCACTCTACACTGGAACCACAATGACGCCCGATGAGAGCTGATAGTGTAGCCTGCCAATAGGGGGGCGTGTGCCTGTGGAGGATGCCTCCAGCATGCCAGAATCTGCCCCTTTTCTCGCCCCGCTGAATCCTCTCATTTGTGCAATGGATGCTTTTACTGGTGGAACAGAGTGACTTGAGATTAGCTAGTCGTTTATAATGCCCACATTGCATGTCTGGGGGCCTCGGAGGCAGAGGATGTGGGCAGAACTGTAAGGGTGCGTGCTCACTGCCTGACCCCTATTTTCACAGAGCCATGCAGTGATAGACTGCTTAGCACTGCCTGCTGAGCTGTGTCTGCTTCCATTTCAGTTCAAACAAAGGCTTCTTCTGTGTATATATATGTATGTCTATATACACATAATTTCAGGATAATCTAGGCATCTATTTAAATAGTTAAATTGATTTGCGATCTGCTCATTTTCAAAAGACAATAAAAATATCGATCACAAAGGAAACTATAAAACAAAGTAGAAAACGTTTTCGTTCACTTTTTTTTCGTCTTCATTGTTTTAAAAGCCATTTTACGGCGAGAATGGATTGTGCTGTAAACTTGAAATGATTGCTGCTGTGCTTCCACCTATTGGCCATACTTGGTAACTGTAGAGATATTTTAGTCCAGGGTCGTTGTTGTCATGCTTAAAATATTTAATTCTCTGTTTCAGGAGACTGCAGATTACACTAATGTCCAAGAGCTCGGGCCTCGGAGGCAGAGGATGTGGGCAGAACTGTAAGGGTGCGTGCTCACTGCCTGACCCCTATTTTCACAGAGCCATGCAGTGATAGACTGCTTAGCACTGCCTGCTGAGCTGTGTCTGCTTCCATTTCAGTTCAAACAAAGGCTTCTTCTGTGTATATATATGTATGTCTATATACACATAATTTCAGGATAATCTAGGCATCTATTTAAATAGTTAAATTGATTTGCGATCTGCTCATTTTCAAAAGACAATAAAAATATCGATCACAAAGGAAACTATAAAACAAAGTAGAAAACGTTTTCGTTCACTTTTTTTTCGTCTTCATTGTTTTAAAAGCCATTTTACGGTGAGAATGGATTGTGCCGTAAACTTGAAATGATTGCTGCTGTGCTTCCACCTATTGGCCATACTTGGTAACTGTAGAGATATTTTAGTCCAGGGTCGTTGTAGTCATGCTTAAAATATTTAATTCTCTGTTTCAGGAGACTGCAGATTACACTAATGTCCAAGAGCTGAAGTATTTAGACATGGTTATATGTGAGTCTCTCAGACTCTACCCACCTGCGTTCAGGTATGACAGCTATTACTTTATAACCGGTTTAATCACATCACACAGAACCACAAGAATGCAAGAATATTAATAACACTATTAAGGCTCTTGCATGTTTTTAGACTTTAATTACTTGGAAAGACATCTATTTGAAATAAACCAAAATGGTTTTGGGCATTGGACTGCATTACACTCTTTTTTCCCCCAGAGTGAATCTTGAATATCATGTGGGTTTTGTTTATTTTGTCACAGATTTGCACGAGATGTTGATCAAGACACTGTGGTGAATGGCCAGCTTCTGCCTAAAGGATCATCTCTGGAAATCGCTGCAGGTTTCCTTCACTATGACCCAGAGCACTGGACCGAACCTGAGAAATTCATCCCAGAGAGGTGAACTTTCCAAGTCATTTTTTGGGAAGAAATTTATACTTTTTTTTTTTTATTCAGCAAGGATGCATTATATTGATTAAAAGTAACAGTCAAGGCATTAATACTGTTACAGAAGATTTCTATTTCAAATAAATGCTGTTTGTCAGAATGTTCTGTTTATCAAAGAATCCTGAATTAAATCAGTACATATCAATCAAAATATAAGGCAGCCCAACGGTTTTCAACATTGATAATAATAAGAAATGACTGGAGTATCATGAATAATTACATTCAAAAATATCTTCAAATCACAATATTAATTTTTGCTTTATTTTTGATATACAATATTATCAAAACCATTAAAAAAAATCTTACGGACCTTAAACATTTGAACAGTAGTGTATATCTCACAGTATATCTTGTAATTATCAACTCTGTGGATGTTCTAGATATTTTTTTAACAAGCTGTACACAGATCTTTCTCCATTTTGTTTGCATGCCTCCCATGTGATGTTCTCACAAAGAACTCTGTATTTGTCTCAGGTTCACTCCAGAAGCCAAGGCCAGCCGGCACCCGTTTGTGTATCTGCCGTTTGGAGCGGGGCCACGCAGCTGTGTGGGCATGAGATTGGCCCAGCTGGAGATTAAAATGGCTCTGCTTCACATATTTAGGAGGTTTAACATGATGGCCTGCGAGGACACTGAGGTTTGTTATTGTTACACTGAAAGTAGTTCAGTTTTAGTGTGCATGAAGATTCTGTTTCCCTCAAATGTGGAGGTTTCCTGAGGTACAAAACAAATGGACAGTCTATATTTTATGTCACACAGGTTCCTCTGGAGTTGAAGTCGCACACCACCCTTGGACCCAAGAATGGTATTTTGGTCAACATCACCAAGAGGGAGAATTTTGAGGACGAGTCCTGATGGAGTTTTAGTTGTTGCTTTGGCAGTCTTGATCTAATCAATTCTAATCATATTATTTAGAATGGATCGATTGCCTAAAATCTAAATTCTTATTCTGGAATCACCTGACTAAATCAAATGTATCTGTGCTACTCATTTAAATGAAACTGAACTCAACACTATTAATTTACAACTAGGGCACAGATATGCAGCACATATGCACATTCATTTTGTTACTGAAGCCAATGGTAAGTCCCTCAAATGTAAATACAACCAACTACATGGAAGAAAATCGGATTTATATGTAAATGATTTGATGGAGAGACTCATCTGTACCGTGGAAAAGGTAACGCTGGTCAACTGCACTCTCTCCATTTCTCTTATTCATCTGTTCTTTTTGCCTAGGAAAAAACATGCTATAATGAATTAATCAGATCAATAAATAGAGCGCACCATATTCAAATTACTACTAATAATTATTATCTGCTAAAAATGTAAATATTGATTACATTGTAAATGATAAAAAAATGTATTTGGGCAATTGGGCCAGACGTATTAATATTAATATTAAGCAATACATTATTTTATTACGTTTACATAATAAATAGATTTTTATATATTGTAATATATTATAATTAAATATAATAAATAAGAATTTAATATTAATACATTCATATGAATTATCCAAATTACATGACACAAAATAGCTATATTGTTCAGACTGAGTATTTGTTTACTTTCTCATCACACGTCACATCTGTGTGATCTCGACGGGAACTGACTTCATACGCCCACTAAAATAGCTCAGAAAAGTCAAGTTAGTTCTGAGAAAAGCTCTAGCATCATTTGTCTGACGATCAAAAAGATATGACTGATACGCATACAGTATAGCTGAAGAACTGTATGTAATGGCTTTGTGCAAATAAACTGCTACTTGTTTTTCTAGTAGTGAAATGTGAAAAAACGTACCACTGAAAGACCCTCCAGAGAGAAAGATTCTGCACTCTTTCAATGCTGTGAATGATGCTTTTGGGCAGTGTTCTACTAAACATTGCGCCCACCCTTTGGTATTCCTTGGAAGTGCTTTGCAGAGGAACAATCTAAAAAAACAAACTGGTTTCGTTTCAGAAATGTAGTATTGTTATGTAACATGGCTGTTGGTACCTGATGCTTTTCAACAAACCTAAAAACGTTATAACTTAGAAGTATTAATCTTCATCTATAACCCTAAGTACAGTACAGAATTGATTTCCAAAGTGTTTAATAACCATTTGACCTCCTTGTACTCCGTGTGATTGGACTGTGTACCTTGTAGGTGAAGTTATCAATAGCTCCTTTGTCCCAGTAAGGTGGAACTTCCACAGAAGAAGATGCTGAGCTGTCTGGAGACTCACTTCTAATTAAAACACAATACACTAAAGTGCACTGAACAACAGATCAATCATGTTTAATATGTGTGCATGTAATGGACAAATGGTACAGTATATCATACCCCTTGATTTTGCTCTTGACATCTTGGGCAGAAACAAAACGTGGTCTCCTTCTAACATCTCTTTCAGTTTTGTACTTGAGATTTTGCTGGCACATCTCTGAAAATGAATTACCATAATCATTTTATGTTTTTTTTTTAAAGTTTTTTTGCATTTCTATTTAGCTTCAATTTATTTTTATTTTAGTTTTAAAGGGTTAGTTCACCCAAAACGAAAATTCTGTCATTAATTACTCATCCTCATGTTGTTGACGTCATTTTTGGGTGAACTATCCCTTTAATAATTTTTCCAAAAGCAAAATTTCTAGTGTTCATTTAAGTTTTTCATCTACTATACTTTATTTCAATAAAGAAAAGAAAAAATGTTAACAGTAGCTAACAACACTGTAAAGTACCTTTAAATTTGAGGGCGTATTGATGGTTCTGTGAAGTATATGAAATTTCCTTTTCACTGTCAGCCAGGTAATGTTTCTCAAGATCTTCTGAAGTGACTGACGCCACAAGTTTAGGATCTTCCTGTAAGATTCAAACAATAATTGCTGTGAAATGTAGTTTAAAGCTAACTGATTTTTTTATTATACTATTTCTTGTATCATATATTGACACAAATAACTGCTATTTTACATCATGTTAAATGTAACATCACAGATGATTTTTCAAACTCAGGTTTTAGAATCGCTTCTGAGAGGTATTATGATGCAATGTGTCACTGACCCCTTTGCCATACTGTGTCCAACCTCCCTTGTCATTCCTCCAGTACCACATCCATTCAGTGGTCAGAATGAAGTGAGGGGGTTTAGTAACAGAAGACGCTGTGGACAACCGACGCACATCTGACACTCCACAAGTCATTGACATAAAGTCCACGACCTGATGCCCTGTGCTGCTCTCAGTAATACTGCAATATGGAGAACATAACAGGTGGGGAAAAAAAGTGTTAAAAAGACAAGACAAACCACAATACAATTACTGGCCACTTCAGATACACATGCTAATGCAAATATTTAATTGAGCACTAAATGTTTTTTCCATAATAATAAAGTTACATTTTGCATATAAAAATACAAATACAAAAAGTTTAAAATCATGTACACTCACGTCACATAGTAAAAGCATTTTAATTTACATGAACTAATTTTGTTTTAGTAACCTTCCCTCTTATTGGACACTTGCTATCACAGAATAGATGAATCACGGTTGAGAGTGCATTTTTGCAGTGGCACCTGTAACTTTGGGATGTGATGGTACAACAGATTTGCAATATGAATGTTATTTGAAAACCCATTAATATACCAGTAAATACACATCTAAGATCTATTTATACCACAAAACATTTGCTGGACTGCAGTACGCCTTCTCAATCTCCTCTTCATTTGGCAAGTCACCCCACGTAATCCCATCCTTCTGTAATATCTGCCATTTATAGGGTAGATGGTGGTGAAAACGAACACACTTGTCTAGAGGAACACAAATAATGGGATGTTACAAAAAAGCACGCTTTAAGCAAATATTTCTTGCTTAACTTAGAGTCTCCAAACTAATTTTATTTCTGTTAACATTTATTTCAAGTCAAAATGTTTTATTATGGTTTTAGTTAACTTCCATCATGCTGGCTTGGTGGTCTACATGAACAAAGTGCTTGAAACTGGCACTGGCTATTTTGGGGCTCTAATAGAGAAAGGGGAACAGGATCAAGACAAGACCTTGAAACTCAGGTCACCTGCTGTGCTGCTGCACCATATTTCAAAGCACTGATGTATTTCCCGTATTTTAAGCACAAAATAACCTGCATAATTTATTTATAGACTATAAAGCTAATTATGCTCACAAAATAGTTTGTTAATGAGTTAATGATTTTTTTAAAGAATACAACATAAATGTATTTTCAATTATGAATCTCAAGGTTGAGAACAAGGTTAAGGAAATGTGCTTATTCAATGACATCACCTTTGAAACTACATCCAGTGCGTACGAAAAAGAGACAGATTTCATTGTGATCCGCTTCACTGACGGAGCTACTGGATTTGTGTCTGGTGCGCCCTTTCACTGCAGGTAGAGCTACTGTCCAGATAGAAAACAGAATGAAAAGAGACATGGAAGAGAAAAACTAAACAAGCACAGCAGTAATCTACAGCTCTTTTGTTCAAAAATAACTGTGCAAAATAATTTGTGCGAAATTACAAAAACACAATCAGTGTCTCTTTTTCTTTCATTCACCTGTCTCACTCTTCTTGAAAGCTGAAGAAGCAATCAGTAACTTGTTCTTGTAAAGCCAGAGGAGTTTTCGCATGTTTTCTGGACTGAGCCCTCGAGCATTCAGGATTTTCTGAGCATATGCATCGAAGCTGTGGGTCCTTTTGCAAGCTGCTCCGAACTTACAGTCATCCTGCAGGAAGTGCAGGCAGAGGTGCAGGTTGGTGCAGGATGTCTTATATTTACAACTGCCATATTCACCATTTCCCTTGTTGTAGTGGGAGCACACCTAGACAGTTGACACATCACAAAAAAATCAAGAGTCACACATTGTATACTGAAAAAATGGCATAACACATTATTAGAAGATTGTCATGTTAAAGGAATAGTTCACCCAAAAATGCTTTGCTGAAAATTTGCTCACTCTCAGGCCATCCAAGAAATAGATGAGCTCGTTTCTTCATCGAAACAGATTTGGAGAAATTTAGCATTACATCACTTGCATATTAATAGATCCTCTGCAGTGAATGGGTGCCGTCAGAATGAGAGTGATAAAAAAAACATCACAATAATCCACAAGTAATCAAATCCTGCTGATTACTTGTGGATTATTGTGATGTTTTTATCAGCGGTTTGGACTCTCATTCTGACGGCACCCATTCACTGCAGAGGATCCATTGGTGAGCAAGTGATGTAATGTCACATTTCTCCAAATCTGTTCTGATTTCATCTACATCCTGGAAGGCCTGAGGGTGAGTACATTTTCATCAAATTTTCATTTTTGGGTAAACTATTTCTTTAAAAATTCAAATAATGGACACAGGATGCAGAAATGGAGAAAACACAAAAAGCCTGAGCAGCTTCTGCAATCACTTCCCTTTCTTATGCAGTGAGAAATGCCCATGTAAGTGAAAAGTTAATGTTTATACAATCTAGATCTTTTAAATTTAACTTCAAACGCCGTGCAGAGTCTGACATGACTTTCCAAGAGTCATTTGAATGAATTATGAGTTAACTAGCAAAGCTGTTTAACAGATATTGACCTCTGGAAGTAATGAGGGGTCGTTTTGAAGCAGAAGTTGAAACAACTCTCCACTCGCAAGGCCATGAAGATCATGTTTCTTCAGGAGGTCAGAATTATGCGCTGATGTCAAGTCATGGGAATTTTTGCATTTTGTCCTAAGAATGACAAATAATGCAAATTAAATAGATTTATATAAGGTGAAATTGTAAAGAAGCATAGAAATATCCATATAAACATTAAATGTAGTGTTTTTACATACTTGTGTCATTTTCAAACAAGCTGTTATTGTGTCCAACCAAGCAAAAATTGTGTTCATTATTTTACTGTGTAAATATGATTAATTATTAACCAAATACATTTAGTTATAATACACTGTATTATAATTATTGCTGGCACCTATTCTGACGTTACTAGTTCTTAAACTAAATATTAGTACCTATTTATGAGACTGATATTGATTGATACTGGTAACATTTCTCATCATACTAGCGGCTATTGCCTTTTTACTCATTATATGTAATAACTGATCAAATGGCTACTTACTAGTAAGATTTTAAATTGAACTGTAAGACTAAAATGTTACTAGTAACACCCTAAGTACCAGTGTCTGTTCAATTTGTACTAAGAAAACTGGAATACATCCGAGAAACTTTGAATTACTACTAAATAAATGACTTAATGAATAGTTACTAGTTACTAGTGGTGAAACTGAAATAGTTACCAGCAACAGCTGGAATACATAGAATTAATACTAGAATTCAGTGACAAAATTTGCAGTGTCATAACTAACAATGGTAGTTAGGTTTCACTTGGAACAGTGGTAATATTACACCAGTTAGTCGCTACTGAACCAAAACAACAGGGCCTAGTACTAACACAATGGAACTTGACTTGAGATGGAACTCAAAGTTTACTTACCCAAATCTGCAATTTCCACATACAAAGTACCTGCACAGGTGTAGGTCTTCACACCCGGAGCATTTGTCATGTTTACACAGTCGCAGTGAGGTTTTGGCTAAGATCAGGCTGTCAGCATCTGGTATGGAGCTTCTGGGATTCGAGTCTTCATCCTGAACTACAACAAACCTCTGGCGATCATCGAGCACCTGAGAGAGAATCTGATCTGCCACCGTGAAACTCTGCCGTAAATCCCTCTCGACTTTACCATAGTCCGAACAGCCCTCGTGTTTGCAGATAAAGTTAAATATGTGTCTAGAAACGACATACATTTTCGTAGATTCCGTCAACGACAGTGGGTTTCGCCACTTCTTGGGTTTGGCCGACGGTTTGGGGCATTTAAACGGAAACGAAAGCGAAACTGATGCTGGTCTTTGGCTCCCTCTGCTGCCTGAAACTCTTTAATAAAACAAAATAAAAAGAAATGAAACTATTTAATAGGTCATCGTGGCAACCGGTTGAAATGCAGCTTGCTAATTGTTACAACTGTAAAAAAATATATAACAATAAATAAAAATCACATTAAAAAATACTTGATTCTAGATGGTCAAACATTTTTTTAAATACCCTTAACCAGTTTCAATTTTCTCTGTCTCACAGCCTCTTTCTTTTCACAAAATAAAGTAAAACATACATTAATATTAGTTATATTATATACAAATTTAAAGTGTCCCTATTATGGGTTATGAAAGGTTCATATTTGGGTTTTGGGAGTCCCCAACAACAGGTTGACATGCATGCAAAGTCAAAAAACACTTTCATTGTCATATAATATGCATTTATTTTTACCTTACTTGCTCAACGACTCTTAAGGATTCATTTTTCCAAACCCCTCCTTTGCGTGACGCTAATCTGCAGTGATTGGTCTCATTTTCATTTCATCATGCCTGTAATGCCTGATAAAGCAGTGTTTGTGAGCACAGTGCTGCTTTGTTTACAGCTGTTACCACAGCTCTTTTACAGCTCCAAAAGCAGCACCTAGTGGCAAAGAATGAATTTGCATTTTCATTCAGACCAATGCGAAAAGACCAACAAGTGGGCGGGCAATGCTAATGTTTCATTTTGACGTCAACATGAAACGGCTTGGGATTCGTTTTAAAAACGACTCGTTTCAATGATTCAGAGTCGACTCTTTCTTTTGAGAGACAATAACTTTATACACGGTGCACTTTCAGATTTAAAACTGGGCAGGATGTTTTCATTCACTTAGAGCTGTGTTACACACTGCATGAAAGGTCATTTTCAAAAATCCATAATAGGGGCACTTTAAGTGGGTGATGGTCAGGACAGGCCAGAGGAATTATGGGAGATGGTAGAAAAAGCACCAGGACCAGTCAGGGAAGCTCATGTGCCCATTCAGTCTCATCCTGGAATGAAATCTCATTACTTATTTTGAACTCTTTTAATAATTGAATTGCCATAAAAGAAGAAATTGTCATATTTCTGAATCTGTTCCTACCCCGGGATGTCCAACTCGAGGTAACTAGAGATTACACCAGCTCCAGTGCGGATCCAGCCTCAAAGAAAGACTTCAGATGACCCACCCTTTGAAGAGATGACCTCTGCGAGGACCCCAGATGATGCCAACTTGAATCGATATGCACAACTGCCAAATTTTCTCTATATTGTAATCATTATGATCACACTTGTAATCATTTTCTGTAAAGCTGCTTTGAAACGGTGTGTATTGTGAAAAGCGCTCTACAAATAAATTTGAATCGATTCTATCCTCTTGGACAATGCTGTTAAAATCTTGAGCTTGTTTGGCAAATTTCATATCCACAAATTAAGAGTGACAGCCTAATTTTTCTTTAGTTTGGTATTGAGGTAAAGTATTTTCCCTTTTTACATCACAAAGAAACAAAACAAAAAAGGCATTAAAAAAATCCCAGGTTTTAGCTAAAATTACCAAGCATATTATGATACCAAGTCTATTCCAGGGTAGTTAAGGGGTGAAATGTCTGTTTTTAATTTCCTCTCTCTATCTGATTACGTCATCCCATGTCACGGTCACTTGATTGTATTGTGAGAGTTTGGTAATTAACAACAATAACAATAATAATAAAACAAAATGTAATTTCATGTATGTTATTAGCGTGAGACGACAACATAAGTGTGATCGCATGTGGAATCTCATTATAAATTGATTTAAGAACAATTAAGTGGAGCATTTTGCTGACAGTTGAGCTGTGATTTATAACATCAGGTCAGTTTGAACTGGTAAATGTTATGTTGTATCTTCAATGGAATGGTTAAAGAAGCCAGAACAACCAAGTTTCAACAGATCTCGCTTTTCAAAATGCTCTTATGCTCCTTCCTCATTAGCTATGACAATTGGGAAATGATCGTGTCGAGAATGCGAAATCATTAAGCTGCTGTCTTTGTTTTTACAGCTCAAGCTAAAGAGAAAGCATCACATTGTGAAGACTTCATGTCATCACATACAATCTTACCATTATGAAAACAACACTGTCTGAGGAGGAGACACAAGCCAACACCTCAGTGAACAGACCAACCTATGTTCTTTATTAGAAAGATGGAGCAGTCCTCCAAGAGCTAAAAAAAAAACTAGGAAAATGTTTCTTCAATGTAAGCGGATGTGGTTTACACAATCTCCCTGGGCATATATTCAAATATTACTATCAAAAATATAATATTCAAAGTAAAGCCTTGCTGACACAACTTAGAATCGCTCATAATATCGACAGCCAATCAGGACGAGCAGAAGATGTGACATCACATGCCCTTATATGGCAGTGTTTCTCCAACGTCAACATTCCACACATCATTTCGAAGAGTCCTGACTAGAAAACACTCTGAGATGTAAAGACACATTTCCCACAATCCTTATGCTGTAAACAGAGAAACCAAAGACCCCGCTTAGTTTCTGTATTATTCACATTTAGCAGTTTTTCTAGTGGATGTAAACTACTGATATATAGAAAGTCACCCTTAACAACATACCGTAGGAAGCTGTAGTGATTTGTTGCTTTCTTTAATATCATTGTCACAACTCCTTAATCTATTCACACAGAGTATTGCGGGAAAAAATAAGGTGTCAGACAAGCATGCAAACAGTTTTGTGATACAAATAAACTGCTTTCCGTTAGTTGAAGGTGTCTAGAATATCTAAAAATGTTCATTTGAATGGACTAACTCTGAAATAAACATCTGTTTAACTAACTCTATCCTCCCTCAGAACCACGCTTAGTGAGTGACGTTATTCTAGTTTATTAATAATCCCTATAATAGTGTTGGAATTTTATACACACTATGTTCAAAACTACAGTCACCTCATTAACTACAGTAATGTATTTCTATTATCTTTAGTTATCTAGATTTGCTTTAGTCCACTCGCTAAAGTGAATGAAATGTTGCAAAATAAAGAACCACACCTCACTATGTTCATTGGCATTAAAATCCACTATATATCTGGCTCTGACAGCAGTGGTCCTAATCTTACATTGTGTCCTCATGTCTCTGAACGTTTCGCCCACAATGAATCACATGGTGCAGGATTTGTCAAGTGAATCCTGTGGAGGGGCCGCCGGATGCTGCGCTGCTCCTGTTTTGGGTATCGCCACCATGGGTTTGGGCCGCAGGGCGGGGGGCTTGAGCTGCACCCCCATGCGCGGGGCCACGGCGGGCTTGAAGGTGCTCATGGTATCGCTGGAGGAGCAGGTGCTGCGGCGCATGGGCGGCTCTTTGACGGCGGGCCGCAGCAGGAGCCCGTGGAGTTGGCTCAGGGACTCGGTGGAGCTGGCCGGTGTGGGAGCATTCTTCATCGGCTCCAGGGTGTCCAGCACCACGTCAGGGGCGTGTTTAGCAGAACTCTGCCGTTCGAGCTCCTTCAGCTCATTTAGAGCAGTGTTCATCGTCTCCTCTATGTCCTACAAGAAAGAGACAGAGCATTAGAGCGCTTATAATAATAAACATCAAACAAATGCAATACAAGCGGACAACATGATGAATCATGACTAGTGAGATCAAATATGTGAACATGAAATGGTCAGATTGTTAGTATTAAATACATGAGACAAGTATTAAAGAGACACTGGAAATGTTGTTGTGAAACCAGTGGGGAGTTTTTAAAGTAGTGGATAGTGTGTGACATCAAGTTTTTTGGGGCTAGAATATGGACTCAATAAAACCATCTTTTTCTCAGAACTATTTTAAACATGAAAATAGGCCTTATTCATGAAACACGAGCAGAATGAATTTATGTGAATTATTTGCTAGTCAGACATTTTGAAAAATAGAGGGGCTCAGGAAACTTTGCCGTTTAAAATTATTTAAAGAAAGAAAAAACATTTAAAATAATTAACACGTACAAGGTCTGGTTTTCTCAAGGTCTTGGAAAACCAGGATTTTTTAACAGCATGATTTCTAGATTTCTAATAATAATAAAAATAATTTTAAAAGTCATAGACATTTCTATAAATCAACGTGTATATTTAAATTATGTTATTGGGTAGAAATTGGTCTTTTCTGAGCAATTTTTTTAATTTAAATCCTTATCCAATCATCGCAAATGACTGGAAAAACATGTACATTTATTTGTCAAAAAGAGTGAGAACTCTTAAGAACATTCAATTGAAGAAACCACAAAATAAATTGTGGTTAATTATATTTAATCTACGCACACTCCAGAGTTTCTGTAAATAAAGCAAGGAAATATATTAGCCTAGCTGGTCAGCTTTCAGACATTGTCTTTGACAATATGGGGCCTTGAAGTCAAAAAGGATGACAAGCACTGGCTTACAGCACATTTAAACAGAATTTTGAGTGGTTTACACATTTTCTTTGCTCGTGCTTCATAAATGAGACCGTGTGTGTGAGTGTGTTTTGCAGATACGCATTAGTCATTAGTAACAGGAGGCAGTAACTGACTATGTTACAGGGCTGGGCCTGCTGCACATGGTGTGAGGGGCGTCGTCGCTCGCTTCCCGCTGACCTGTGCGATGCTCTCTGGATCCAGGCCCTTGCCGTGAGGCTCGGAGAAGCTTGTGTACTGGCCTGAAGACGTGGACCTGCGGATGGGAGGGCTCTCCATCTTTTTTATGGACTCGTGCCGGCTGATGTTGGTCAGGCTGCCGTGGCCGGTCCGTCGACGTCTCTCGGGACTATCCATGGGCATGTGTCCTCTTCCTCTCAGCAGGTCCCGCGGACTGTAGTGGCCCATCACTGGGGATCCCAAATCTGGGTTGCAGTGACTACCCTGGCTGCTATGGTTGCCGTGGTGGCCCTGTGAGGGGTGGACCAAGCAGTGGGTGTCAGTGGGGCGAGCTGGAGGCCTGCGGGTCGGGGGGTCACTTCTCTTTCTGTGCCTGCTAAATAAAGCAAAAGGAAATAAGACACGTTAAAGTGTGTAATGAATCTATTTCCATACCTGGCTAAACAAAGCTTTTGTGAGAGGTTTGGAGACCACTGCGAATGCTGTTAGCTTTACGTTAAGTGGTGGACATGATTCAAAAACATTACTGGTCTTCACATGCTGCATTTGGGAATATCAAGTGTGCTTCAGCGTTCATGCTTAATTAGCATCAGCGTCATCTCCAGAGTATCTGTGGCAGCCATAGCAAGACTAAAGAATCTTCCAAAACATTTAAAAAACAAAATAAGTCGAAGACGTGGTGGAAAGCAGTGCTGTTATCGTTAAAACTATTAAAACAATTTTTGGGTAAACAAACAAACAAAAACAACAACAACAAAAAAGGAGGGGGAAAAAAGACAACTGTTCTGTAATGCAAGTATTCAACAGTAAGTACTGTATGTTTTAAAGCCAAAAGTGCACATAGTTGAAGAAACATAAATGATAGTAATAAATTAGTAAGATGAAGTATTTCTATCATAACATAGCTGCCTAATAACTTGCACTTAATGAGCTCTTGTAATGCTTGTATAATCATTTTGACAGTCCGTGATAGATAGCAATCAGTAATGACATGCTAAATTGTGAGTTCATAAATGACATAGCTGTGCTGCTGATAATGATCAAAGTAAACAGAAATGAAATGAATTTGAGTGTTATTTTATCTAAAGTACCAGCAGAGATATTTGTCCAGCAGGGGGAGACCTGCACTACTTTAAAACATGGAGCGACTCAATAGTGCCCTGCTGCATTATACAAGACACGGAAAGTGTCAATGTGTCAAAAGAGAGTGAACTTTTATGGGAAACCATATAAATCTGCTTTAGAACAACTACAAATTATTCAAATTCATATTGAACGCCATGTGACACTGAACTCTCATTCATTTTATTTCTATGGCACAGTCTGCACAGTTATCACACTGCAGTACACCAACACTCACTGCTTATCCTGATATTCTGGCCAACTCAATGTAAACAAATACTGAGTTCATGTGTTTGAGCGCCCACCGCATCTTAGGACTAGTGCCGACATATCAAAGAAAATATTTGTCTTTGGAGATCACCACTTTATGATTTGATTGCCATAATGTCATTGGGTTTACAGTTGCAGAGGAGGCTATCCTCATCCGCGAGGAAGTATGTTTGATAAACGCACTTATGGAAGGAAGAGAACATCTAAATAAAGACAAATGCACTGAAAGATTTAAGAGGCAGGAATCATAGCTGCACGACACAGAGGGATAGAGCGAATGAACGGGGGAGTCACAATACTCCCCCGTTCAACACAATAAAAATAAAGACTTGATGTAAGCAGCTTCAAGAAAATCCACACGGGGACTTCTTTCTTCGTTCTTGTTACTTATAGGGTATTTTTTTTAAAGTTACATTTATGGGCTTTTATGCCTTTATTGTGATTGGACAGTAGAGAGCTGACAGGAAAGCATTGGGCAGAGGGGAGCGGGATTGGCCCTTGAGACGGGAATCAAAACCGAGTTGTCGCACTAACCACAAGGCCATTGGCACTGACACAGGGTATTTGTTTGATTTGATTGTCATTTAATTGACTGTTCCTTTAACTGAATAGCCTAAGTGTCTTGGAGTGCTTGAAGCAAGGGAATTCTGGGATGTGCTCGTTCCAGTGTTAATTTTGACAGCAAATTTTGATAGTCTTTTGACTAAAATGCCATTTAGTTTTAGTCATATTTTAGTCATCTGAATTGTTTTTAGTTTTAGTCTAGTTTTAGTCGACTAAATATAAGATTTGAAAATCTAATGGGTTTAGTTACAGTGCATTTATTAAGCATTTCTCTAAAATTTCCAAACTCATTATATAGATTTGATATTAAGGTTTTATCATGATAGGCACAGATTTAACTGCGGTGACACACAACATGCCTTTATGTTAAAATTAAAATGAAATAAAACCACTTCTCATAAAGAACAAGAACATGTTTTTTTTATTAATGAAATACCAATGGTTATATAGGCTAATTATGCATTCTTTATAGCAACGCGTTTACCATATTCTTCATTCTTTCAAGCAGACATATTTATTTCTATAAATAAATTTAGATTCATCTTTAGGGCTACTAAACTTTTTCAGTCAAGAGCAGTGCGTGATTTTCTGTCTTTCTTTTGTTGTTTGATTAACATCAATGACTTGGGACAATAGCAACTAAATTAGGCTTCTGTCCCTTTAAAACCGAATGCACAGCTGCAATGGATGCAATGTACTGATACATGTTCTCCCTGCTGTTTACGTTCACTTAAGACGTAATCAACTGTTTATGCGAATACTCGTCAAAACGGACAATTCAACAATTTTGTGTGTAATTCTTCGTTCATGCGACGCGAAAGAGTACTCACGCGCTGTGAGACGAGCTTTCTGTGTGTGTATGCTTCAGTGTCTGCGCTCAGAAAACCAGACTGAATTGAGTTCTCTCTTGCGTCGTTAGATTTATCCATATGTCTGCTCTTCTCTTACTCCCACATATTGACATTTTTTAACGTTTTATGCGACGTGCAGCAAGTGTATGTTAGCTTATGTCCCGCCAGTTCATATGTACGCATCTAACCTCCGAACCACGCAGCAGATTCGTTCTGAATGAATCTCTTCTCAAATCGTCCCTCCCTAACATTTTCGTCTCGTTTTTATTCGTTGACGAAAATGTCAATAGATTTACGTCATAGTTTTTGTCATTCAAAAAGAGTTTTAGTTCGTTATAGTCTCGTTGTCGTCAGTGAAAAAAATTGTTGACGAAAATTATTCGTCAACGAAATTAACACTGGTTCATTCACTCACCTGCTGATGTAGGCATCAGGTAGCCTGCTGTCTGTTGGAGACCCAATGTCTCTACTGGAGCATTTCTCCTCTCCTCCATGCCCACTGCTGGCCTCACTGTCCACCTTCTGGCTCAGAGTGTCAGAGAATGTGTCATCCCTGTAAAACAGCAAACAAGCAGTTATAAAAACAATTTACACGCATTAGGCTTAGTTTAATGTTTAAACACAAACTGTTTCACGACAGACAACAAGAAGAGCTCAGATTGCTACTGAACCGCTATGGGTGCATTAGGAGGACCCATTCGTATGGGCTGGACTGGCACAAGTAAATGAGGCATGTCTGACCCAATGAGTAGCAAGGGTTGTGCTCGCTCAATCTGGGGAAGTGGCAAAGACCGGATATGGGCATATTTGCGTTGGAGAGCAGCAATTGGATAAGAGTGTTCAGACAGTCTCAGGTTCTCTGCAGTGAAGGCATGATTAATCTCAAACTTCCTAGTTGGTCTGTTTAAAAGGGACACCGAGAAGGAAACCGATGCTCCATTTAAGTGAAGTACTTCCTGACGTATTGTACGTAGGGTGAGGGTTTCAGGTACTGCATTAAGGTTTGGCGAGGGGAGTTTCCGGTTAGAGAAACGTGAGAAAGAGAGCAGGTCCCAATTGAAGGATTTTATTTGAATTATCCTTGCATGTTTGAATTGTTACAGGCATTTGCCCATAAGGGATGCATGTGGGCGTGTGTGTTTTTTTTATCAATCACTCACAGAAGAAACAAACATGCTGTAGTCTATTTTCTTGCACAATGAACAAATCAATCTATCCACCCATACATATAGACTGCCTCCTGATACTTGTCCGGGCATGTCTTGACTTGTTCAGCCTTTTCCAAGCCTTAAAAGGTTATAGACATAAAGATACCTCTGGGTGGCATCGTTGGGCTTTCATACAGCTACCAAAACACATTTCAAAACAGTCAAAAATAAGTCCCAGGTGGGCACTCCTTGGTTTGTATCGCTGAGCTTTTACTTTTCCCTCAATACTCCCCAATACACTAAACGTAGGGCTGCATGACTTGGGGAAAAAATCTAATTGTGATTTTTCTGATAAAATGCGATTAAAATTAAAAAGCAACCGATTTGCTGTACTTGTTTGATGGGCAGCACAATTTGAAAAAAAAATGTTGCAATTACATATCAATATGACAATATGAAATAATAAAAACTAACAATAACAATAAATAATATTAATAATAAAATAATAATAATTATTATTATTCTTTTTAAAAAGCTACAGTTTTGCTTAGATTTTTTTAAAGGGCTGCGCAATTTGTCCAAAAATGTTGTGATTATATATCAATATGACCATATAATAATAATAATAAACATTTCATGTGAATCAAGCGGCTTTGAGACACTGAAAACGCTGTATCATGAGTTGCTCATGTGCAAAAGAACAGTGCTGCGCTTTGCATATATTTAGATAATTAATCAAATTGCAGTATTTGTAATTTGTAAGCCATACTACAATTTTATTTCGACTAATAGTGCAGCCCTACAGTAACTGAACAAAATTCAAACATTCAACTTTGTTTGTCACTAACCTTTCAGCAATGTTTTAAAGCAATCAATCGCAAGGACATCTTTTCCTGGCGTAAGTTCAAACATCATAACGTTGAAATTAGCTTTCACTGTTTTTTGCTGTTTACAATGTATACTTCCTGACTAACTTTGTAACATTGCCCTTCTTCATTGCTATCTTGTGAAGGTCAAGCAGTACGTGATGCTTGTGTTGACTGGTGCGTTAAAGCCCTGACACGAGGCCTGTGAAAGAGACTTGGAGAGCATGTAAAGCTCCACAAGTCCTGTGTAAAATCACAGCTGTTGATACAGCCTACTGGACAGAACATTAGGACACATGTGCATGTTTTTTAACACCAAACAGACATTTCTATCAGCTGTGATGTGAATTATCTCCATTGCATGCGTGCCATAGAGGATATCCTGTGTGTATGAGCTGTCCATCCTTTCACTCTCTCACTCTTTTATTGGACTGAGGGGCTGACGCTGCTGGTCTAGGGCCTCTTAAACTCCCTCTCTACACCTGGCTGTAAATTCAAACAGAGGGTCATGATGTGAATTATTGATACACACACAGTGGGCTGGTATGGGCTCTGTTGTTGGCGTCACTCAGTACTGTGCCCGATCCATTAGATTTGCCCCCCTTATGAGTCATAATCTGTTCAACTAGGCGCCAATGGTTGCCCAGGCGGAACAAGTTGTCATGACGATAAAGGGATTTACCAGAGATGGTCCACAGCAGAGTGGTGAAACTAAACTCAGATGTGCCTCAAGTTATGTTCCAAATCTATCTAGGTGCCTAGATTAGGCATTTTATGCCCTACGCCTACTTCCATATTACATAGTATGCAAAAAGCAGTACATCAAAGCTGTATTTGCAAATATACAGTATTCAAAAGGCATGTAGTATGTCTAGATTGTAATATAGAACATATGTTATTAATGGTCGCAAATTCTTAATTTTGGACATTGTTTATCTCTTGAGGAGAAGGCAATCCCAGAATGTGACAAGCTCAGGGAAAAAATTAAATAGTGGACAAATCAAAATAATAATATTACACTATACATACTAGGGCTGGGGGAAAATAACATAATATTAAAATAAATAATAATAATAACGAAAAGCAAACAAACAATAAATTCACTACCCAGGTGCCAATAAAATTTTTATTTAAAATATTATTTAATATAAATAATAAATATTATTTTAAATATTTTATGATGATTCTACATTAATATGACAATTACATATGTAAATTGTTTAAATATAAAGTAATTTTTTTATTTTATACATATGATTGTTATATAATAATTTATATATAATAATATATATGATTTATATATAGTAATATATACATAATATACAATAATAATTGATATGCGATTAATCATGATTAATCATAAAAATCTGTACAATTAATTACATTTTTATTAGAGTCACAGCCCTAATATATACTACATAAATAATAAATTGCCTCTTACATTTTCCCTTTTACAAACATAATATCTTATCCTAATTTTTTATTAGATTTTCTACATTGTGTTGTACAACAGTAAATTCTATTTCTGATTTATGTAAACTTGCGGATTTATTTCTAATTTGTTAAATGTTATGTTAATTTTATTCTATGTACAAAGAGTTAAATTTAGAATCTGAAGTAGAATTATTATAAATTATAATTATATAATACTGAAAAGGACTAAATAGACAAACTCAAAAACAGGTAAATCTATTCAGCCCAGTATTTGTGTGCTATGTATTTTCTTGCCTGGTGAAATAAAGGTTGATAACATCAAACTCTGTTGAAGCGCAATTATTATTATTTATATTCTTTTATCACGGTAGAACAGTAGAGATACTCACATATCCTGTACAACAATGTACTGGTGAGGCACTAGGCCGTCTATGCCGTTGTGTCTGCCCTCCCACCAGTCATCCGACGCTCTCTGATACAGCAGTAGAGATGCACCCTTCTTAAAGGACAGCTCCCGCGCAGAGCGGCCCACATAATCGAATTTTGCGATGGCTTCAATGGGCTCCCCCTCTGTAGAAGAAAAAAACACAGCATGGTTAATTCAGTGAGTTAGAAGAACGGAAACCGATGTCACATGTGAATAAGAGCATTTCAATGCATCAACATTATAGGGTCTCTGACTAGCTGCAGTACATGCCTTTGCCACCATGACCCCCTATACGTAAGGACTCATTAGAGAGCCAACAGGCAGTTCTGGCAGAAGGGGGCTGTTCTTATCTTCAGGACAATCGGGCAATGTGGACCTTACCAACAACATCACAACTCCTGCCAAATGAGTGCAACACCTCTTACAAAACAGCACTGTGATACATTGGTGGCAATACTATGGTGCTTGAATAATAAGGTACAAGACACCATGCTAAATTATGAGCTAAGTCACAGTTAAAGGGGAACGACAGTGCTTGCAACCCTTTACAAAAATATAAAAATTCAATAATTATTTATATAAATGTTTTAATATTTCAAATGACGCATTTCAATATTTAATTAAAACTATATTTATTAAATAATATTTAAATACAAATTTCTATTAGTTAATATATATGATTGAATAAAATTAGCTTTAACAAATTATAAATAAAAAGAATACATTTTAAGCAAAATTACCAATCAGCATCTATGAGCACCACTGTGCTTTTTATAAATGGATATAAACTGTGATACTGAATGAATACCATATTTTTGTGCAATGGCATTTACACATTATGCAAATATACTTAAAAAAAGCAACGATGGTGATAGCTATCATAATATTACAATTTTACTATGGTCATAACACCATGGCACTTTTCTGTAAAACCAAAAAAAGTCTCATTAAAATTTAAAGCTAAATTATAAATCAAGTTACAGTTGAAGGGGAATGACAGTGCTTGCAATCCCTTCAGCACAGCCTAAAGTTAAAAAAAAAAATAGATTGCTTTCTATATTTTAGAAATTATTTATACATATTTTATATTTAAATAGTACATGTAAATATGTAATAAAAATATGACATTTCATTATTTTAAAATTTGTTTAATATTTAAATATGTAATTATTTCATTTAACTACCAGCATTATTACCAGCATGTCCACATGCATCAAGGAACTATCATTTTACTACGACCTTAAAACCCTGGTAACACCATGGTAATTTTGTAAAAAAACAAGTCTCTTAAAAATTACTTGAAATTAAATGTAATTAAATGCATATTGTGAATATATGTTTAGTCTTTTCTAAGACCTTTTCTATTTCTTTCCCTTCTGTAATGCATTACAGTCATTAGTCAAACATCAAAAATGTTAGTGAAAATGTAGTAATACTTGTGAGTATTCAAAAAAACAAAACAAAAAAAAAACACCTCAGGAGAAAGGCACAGCTTTACCATTGTTGCAAATAAAGACAGAAAAATTAGGGAAAACATTAACAAATCAGACAAAAGAGAATACACAATCCATTTTACACAGGAATAGTAAAAGCAATATAAAAACAAGAAGCACAAGCTCAAAGAGGAAATGCTTTTTCATTCTCGACAGTCTGTTGACTGTCTGAATTAATAGGGATGCTCTGAGACCAGGCACCTTGTTAATAAAGAGGATGGGGTGGAGATCAATATGGCCATCAACTGTCCACACGTCCCTGTCTCTCCTCCATCTCTGCCTGACAGACGCTGTCATTCATTCAGTGTCCTTGCAAAAGCCTGTTCATGTATCATAGTGCTGCAAGGACAGTGTTTGCCAAGACAGGAGGCAGACAAAGTACAGTGGGGCAAAAAAGTATTTAGTCAGCCACCAATTGTGCAAGTTCTCCCACTTAAAAAGATGAGAGAGGCCTGTAATTTTCATCATAGGTATACCTCAACTATGAGAGACAAAATGAGAAAAGAAAATCCAGAAAATCACATTGTAGGATTTTTAAAGAATTAATTGGTAAATTCCTCGGTAAAATAAGTATCTGGTCACCTACAAACAAGCAAGATTTCTGGCTCTCACAGACCTGTAACTTCTTCTTTAAGAGGCTCCTCTGTCCTCCACTGGTTACCTGTATTAATGGCATCTGTTTGAACTCGTTATCAGTATAAAAGCCACCTGTCCACAACCTCAAACAGTCACACTCCAAACTCCACCATGGCCAAGACCAAAGAGCTGTCTGGATTTTTTTTTCTCATTTTGTCTCTCATAGTTGAGGTATACCTATGATGAAAATTACAGGCCTCTCTCATCTTTTTAAGTGGGAGAACTTGCACAATTGGTGGCTGACTAAATACTTTTTTGCCCCACTGTAACAGTCAAAAATGTACCTAAATTATGTATGATTTTAGCTCAGAAAACAATTTTAAAAAAAGAAAGAAAATGCAGACACTGACCAAAATAATTCATTTGTTTACTGTGCAAAACCTTGCTCACTAAATTACACAAAGGCACTTCACGATACACTTTTAACTCATTGGGAAGCATGTATTAAAGAGACTGTAACTTTTGTTATGGTACTATTTTTATTCACAGACATTAATGTTCTTGCACTCGCTTGTTCTAGTTGATTACACATTGTACCATATGGACTTCCTGTTGCCCCAGAGGAGAGCTAACAACCCATGCTAGGTTTTCTGGCTAAACATACACTGCTCTAACAGTAAGTTACTCACCAGCACCCGCAGCTGCAAGCAAACCCAGGAGGAATAAAGGCTGACAGAGTAGAAAACTGTTTGTAAGCGGCATTTCCTGCTTTTTAATGTTTTTAATCGAGACATGCTTGCAGACTGCAGGGGTGCTGCCATTTAGAAGAGAAAATGAGCTCTTTGCAACATCATCAGGGACCTGTTAAGAAATGTTCTGTCTTTTAACAAAGATCACATGTTTTTGGTTTTCTACTCAAAGGCTGGCATTTCAACAAAGCTTTGTTGTAAAACAGAAACATCGCAAGTAAACTCAACATGAATTAGAATTCAATACCCATTTGAATTATATAATGTGACTTATTTTATAGTGAACCCAAATATTCAAGAAAAATTTGTATTTTAAGAACTGGAAAAAAAAACAAGATACATTTACTTAAAAAGCAATAATGCATAAGATATTAAGACACATTTTCATAATTTAAAAAGATCTTTAAAATTATATTTAATAATAGATTTTTTAATGTTTATAAAATAATTTTCTTATACTCACCAATGATATACTTGTTCAAAAATACAGTAATATTATGAAATATTTCTAAAATGTCAAATATTTGTATTCTATTTTAGCCTATATTAAAACTTAACCCTTAACTGTCACCGTCCCACCTGTGGGACATTTGGCGCTCTTTTTTGTTGTTGTCATTTTTCTCTATCAAATCTTTTAGTAATCATCATAAATCATATATCATTTGAAAGCTTAGAAGCCCAAGATTCATCCTGTGAAAACCATTTCGAAATCAGACATTGCCTTACCATGGAAATGGTACTTTAAATTCTTTTGGCGGAAGAAATTCTTTCCTCCCCCTTAGTGGGCAGTGTCAAGTGTCATATTACAAAATGAATTACGGTCTTTTAGAATCAAAACTTTTTATAATCTTGACAAAATACATATCATTGGAAAGGTCTGAGTCTCAGGATTCCATATTTCGAGATATAAGTAATATTGACAGAGAAATCTAGACATTTGTGACCAATTCAATGGAGTTTTTGGCTGTTTGTGGTATAACGCCCTAAATAAAATCTCACAGGAATCTCAATTTTTTTCATAGCAACTTCAAATTTGGAACATAATTTATTTAGACATAAGGCTATAATTTTATACCAATTTTAGAGTAAAGCCTGATATGTAAAATATTTATTATATATAAAATAAAAAAAATGTATAGTGCATTTTCTTTAAATTTAAACTACTATAACTTTTTGATACTTACATTTTTTGAAAAAATGTATGCGATAATTTGCTGATTTTCTTCTTTAAAAAGAGACCAACCTTATGTCTGTATTCCAAAGTGTTCATAAATTACAACAATTTAAGTTTGGATAGTGCACCTGCATGCCTATTTTAAAAAATGG